GCCACCCAAGTGTCCAGGTGTCCATTTAATGTAAATTCTAAATTAAAAGTTAACTTGCAGCATCAAAAACTGAAGTCTTCCATCTATTATAGAGCCCAAAGCAAAAAGAATACACTATTCACTGTTTACTCTCTTCCCACACATGACTGTGGGTGGCATCAGTTAAACATGCAGAATATTAAGCACTACTAAACCGTCCAAGGCATATTTTCACATCTAATGCTATATTCCCAAAAGATAATTTATTTGAGCCTGAGCCTACCCCCCACTTCTCCCCACCCATTTTAATACATAGGTCCTCAGACAACCACCAAAGTCAATAATGTAAGATCGATAAAGAAAATTATGAAAAAGAAATGCAAGACTTAATTTCATTCAAATCTTTAGTGTTTGGGCTTTAAAAAATATCCTAACTGGGCACCTGGCTGGTTCAGTCAGAAGAGCATGCGACTCTAGATCTTGTGAGTTCAAGCCCCATGTTGGGTGTAGAGATTACTTATTTATTTTAAAAAATAAATAAAAATTTAAAAATTAATAATCCTTACTAAATACACTTCAAAGTTACAAAACTCGTAATTTGTTGGCTTAGTAGTTTAGCTGTGGCCTTCCACAATAAATCTGAAGCCACTATCTTCATCATCTACTTAAGATTATTTGCATACAAGAATTCAAAAAATGTCATCTGTCTTCTCATAACATTCTTAAAGCTAAAACTTGCATATGAATACACAGACTAATATTAACAGTTATGAAATATCTTCCTAGACTAGGGTGGAATTTTGTTTTAATAATGATGAGGGAACACACTTCACCCAACATAAAACTTAAATATCCATTATTTTGGATGTCCTTTAGAACTTTGACATATTCAAAAATACATCCGAGCACCTTGGCTGGCTCAGTTGGTGAAGCATGTGACTCTTGATCTTGGGGTTCTGGGTTCAAGCCCCATGTTGGATGTAGAGATTACTTAAAAATAAAATCTTAAAAAAAATACATCTCATAGGGGTAAAAAGCCTGACACTGAACAACACAAAATTGCAGAAAATAAGGCACTTACCTTCAAAGAATGTAGAAGCAATTCACAAATATATTAATTAAGGAAACTGAGGATTTTAATTGCAATGCACTTTTACTGTTGATGGGTAATGGTCAGAATGGCCTTAATAGAAAAACATTAGAATATTTTACATATCGACTTTTTTTTAAATGTTTTGTTTTTCAACGTTTATTTATTTTTGGGACAGAGAGAGACAGAGCATGAATGGGGGAGGGGCAGAGAGAGAGGGAGACACAGAATCCGAAACAGAATCCAGGCTCCGAGCCATCAGCCCAGAGCCTGACGCGGGGCTCGAACTCCCGGACCGCGAGATCGTGACCTGGCTGAAGTCGGACGCTTTACCGACTGCGCCACCCAGGCGCCCCTACATATCGACTTTTAACTACACTAAATCCTTAAAGTGAGGAGTGCGATTTAACTCACTTTATAAGTAAATGTTCATTTTCATATCAGTTTTTTTTTTAATTTTTTTTTCAAACGTTTATTTATTTTTGGGACAGAGAGAGACAGAGCATGAACGGGGGAGGGGCAGAGAGAGAGAGGGAGACACAGAATCGGAAACAGGCTCCAGGCTCTGAGCCATCAGCCCAGAGCCTGACGCGGGGCTCGAACTCACGGACCGCGAGATCGTGACCTGGCTGAAGTCGGACGCTTAACCGACTGCGCCACCCAGGCGCCCCCAGTTTTTTTTTTTAAAGAACCCACCCCACCCCCACTGCCAGTCTCTGATAACCTTAGAATGCTATGGTTATTTCACAGTAGGAAAGAATGGCTAATAAGTACATTTCCTTTCCAATCCTAGTCTCTACCCATTCATTAAACACCAAATACTGAAACTGAATTCAACTCCTACCTCTATGTTCCTACCAGGAATGCGCCCTAGGGCACCCGAATCCGTTCCACTGTCACTTATTGCAACTGCCAAAGCCCCTCCTATTAATAGTAAATCCCTTTCATACTGACTCACTGTAACCCCAACTTAATGAAATAGACAACAAGCAAAATTTACAAAATCTGAGAATGGAATTTTCCCGTTTTCAAAGAATTAAAAAAGAAACTAAAAGTAGAATACATTCAGACTAAGTTACAAACATTTGGAGTTCAACCGATTTGTAAGTATGTATACTGCTTATTCTATACTGGTTCAAATTAAATATTTTTTTGAAAGTTTGTATATCAGGCATTGTGTAACTACTTATGCAAAACGCCAAGTTTTCCACGCAGATAACTGATAGGTAAATACAAACGTATGCCATCACATCAAAATTGCAAACCAATCTGAAATTTTTTCTTCCAATTTTTTTAATTGTGTAAATTTTCAAGCACGCACAAAAAAGTAGAGAGAATAATAGTACAATAAGCTCCCCTGTACTCATCCAGCTACGATCAACTCAAGGCCACTTTTGTTTCATCTCTACCTCCCACCACTCTCTCTTCCAATTATTATCTTCAGAAAAGAATTAAGAAGACACTGTGCTCGGTAAGTACCCTGAAAAAACCCCAAAGATGCTAAAGTATCAAAGACTAGTAAGAAGAATTTAACAGTGACTGTCACCCTAAAACAGCTACTTGCAAATTTAAGAATTCAGTTAAAAACAAAGAAATAGCCATCTTTAAGAATTTTAATAAAGTCCGTAAGATCCAAAAGGCATATTTAAAATTATACCTAAAAGGAGAAATAGGAATAGGTGGTGAAAATGAACTTAAATATCTGCAATTAGCTTACATTCATGTAGCACCTCGGCTCAAAACGAAAAAAAAAAAAAAAAAGACTAACATAATGTGTCATAAAATTACAATTCAACCACTTGAAAAAACGCTGAATGCTTATGCCTTAACTGGTCCTTCTGATCCCTAATTACAGATTGATATCAATGTAAAAAGAAAACCAGGCATTTTAACGTAAGCGTTTTAAAATGTTCAAAATTAACCCCACCGTTCATTGGAAAATATATGAAAGCAAGTCTAAACTACCTGAATTGTATGTCATTAAACAGAAATGTATATCCACTTTCCTGGGCCCAGGTTTTTTTTTTTTTTTTAATAAGTTCACATATACCCTGAAACGCAACGCGCTAGGCTACAGATAGAATTAGAAGACCGCCTCCTGCTCTTGCTCCTAACCAATACGCAGAGAGAGAAGGTTGGCAGGAAAGTGCTGCGAGGACAGTAACAAACACCAGCAGCTCCCGAGCAGGCCCTGCTAGAGCCAGGAATGACGCACTTCGGTAACCCGACTCTTTCTCCCCTCCACCCCCGCCCCCAGCAGCGGTGCTGACACCGCCAACAGCCCGGAGTAGGAAAAAAGACAACAGAAAAAAGGCAGAGGTTGGACCGCACCAGGTTTCATCAAGAAACCTCGATTATTCCTCTTTCGACACTAACCACTAGGACTAAACAGGAAAAGAAGCTTCGTGCTTAAGCAAGTCCCATCATGGTGGTTTAAGAGTCACTAAATTAAGCTGATAATGAGTCCAATCCACAGAGACAAACACAGGGTGTGGCTGCCGTGAAATACGGCGGTCCGTGGGAGAAAAGGGGTATGGAATTTACACTCCAGTATGAGGGGAAGATGGGGCTTTACCAAGGGGAGGGGGGGCGGCCCGCGCATTTTAAGGAACCATTTCAAAGCAACACAAGCTTTTCGTTTACTTAAACCTAATCCCACAGATCAAAAGTTTCTAATAGATATATCGTGTAAACTGTAAATAACCATTTAATCAAACACCATGACCCTCAATTAAGAAACCATCCGAGAGAAAGGAGGGAGACGGTAGGAAAGGGTGGTAGGCAACAAGATATAAAACATTTCTAGGCCACGCAGGAGAAAGTCTCACAAACCGGATGAAACTACTAATGCAATATTAAAAATTAAAGCTGAACACTGCAGCATGAAAAATCTCACGATAAAACCCATTATAGTTCAGGATTCAAAATAAAATGACATACACACCAAGGGAGAGCGGAAACTAAATGTCGAAAGTACAGCGGTTTATAAAAAACTAAAGGCAAAACAAGACCTTCTCGCGACGAGGAAAAAAAAAAGGCAGAAATCAACAATACGTTTACGAATGTAGGCCAGAAGAAAATGGGAACGGGGCTCAAAGTTTTGCGGAACTACTTGATGCTGTTTCCCACACCTTCTCTCTCCCATGGCCCATCAGACCCTTTTCGTGCTAAAATCGCCGGCCACAGATCACCGGGTACGCGACAGAAGAAAAAAGAAAGTCAACCCCAAGCAAGAATAAAAGTGTAGAGAGAAAAAACAGAAGCTGCCTACCTGGGGCAAGGATCAGCTCAGTTCGTGCCTTGAGAAAGACAGTGCGGGTGGGGGTGGGAACGAAAAGCAGCACTAAAACTAAAACAAAAGTGGCGCCAAAACCCCCCAACAAACAGCCTTCCACTCCCGCCCTTCCCCCCTCCTCCCATGCCAGGCAGGCAGGGCCCCCTTCGGGGCAAGGTCTGCACGCGGGGGCCAACACTGCCAGACCCCAGCCTATTTATAAAATTGTTGCCCGAAGAAAACTGACCGAAGTCGGGCCTCGGAAGGGATGGAGAGATCGATGCCAATCGCTTTCCCAAGCAGTTCCCCCACCACGCGCTGGAGATGATGGGGCGGGGGAGAAGCAGAGGGGCCCGTCACATGAATGTTGTTCCCTCTCTAGGAAGGGAGGAAGAGAGGGAGGGAGCGGAGGGAGGGAGGAAAGGAAAGAGGGGAAGGGAGAAGGGAGGGGGCACGAGGGAGGGGTGTGATCAGAGTAGATTTTCCCTCGCCTCCCTCGGTCCGAGGCCCAAATATACACAACTGAGCCTCCGCTTCTCCCCTCCCCCCTAGGTTCCCAGCACCACCATTTTGCTCTCTTCCTTCCCCTCTCCACGATACCGCGCTCTCCCCCACCCCAGCCACAGCCTCCCCGGCTTTCCTCCCCCGACTATGGCTCGCACCCCACCCCACCTCCAGTTTGGGCTCTCCCAGGCTTAAGAGCCTGCCGGAGAAAAGGCACCTAAATCTAATGCAACACTGAGAAGCGGAGCCTCCATCTTGCGCTGCTCCGCGTTCTCCATTTTGGGCCACCCATGGGGGGGGGGGGGGTCTCCGTGGAGGCCCCGAGGGAGAGTTGGGCGAGGGAAGGAAGAGAAAATCTTCAGCGAGGGTAGTCGAAAAGAAGAGTCGTGCAGTAGAAAGCCACTCTAGGAGTAGGAGGTAGGGAGGAAGGGGGGCTGGAAGTTCCTTGGTAGTGTTGAGGTGGCCACTTGGGGGGAGAAGGCAGAAAGAAGGGTTGGGGGTTACGCGGGGACGGGGAGGCTTCTCCCCGTCTTGACTTGGCCACCCGCTCCATGGCTGGCCCCGCTAGGGGCAAAGGGAGTAGAGGGGAAATTAAGTGGCAACAGAGTGCCCATTCTCTTTCCCTCCCAACTCTTCTCTCGCGCCCTGCTCCAACCATACACACCTCACGGTGGGCCCCGCGCCCTCCGGGTGCCCCTCCAAACTTCTAGAAGCTTCGCCTCCGCCATTTTATAACTTACCTCCCCCCTCAGCGTACACAGAGGCAGCAACGAGACTGTTCGCCTCCCCCACTCCTCCTTCCTTCTTTCTCAGGCCGGGGGCTTCTTCACCCCTGGGCTGGTACAAGATATTTCCCCCTTCCTCTTCTTTACACCCTCGAATTCTACTCAGGGACGGAAGCTCCCGCGGTTCTAGAGCGGTGGGGGGTTTTGAAAGTGGCGGTCGGATCCGGCGGGTTTTTTTTTTCTTTTTTTTTTTTTTTTTTTTTTTGGTGGCGCTTCGGGATTGTTTGGGGTGTTCGCTCTTCGGCGACTTGGAGGCGAATGGAACGCGCAGGCGCCATCTGTCGGCCACGAACCCGCGCTCGGCTCCTGTTGGGAGGGAGCGGCATCTAGCGGCAGCGAGCTGACACTGCAACGCTTGTCTCCCAGCGTCCTCCTCCCTATCAACGACCAATCGTGGCCGACTGCCTCCCGGGTTCAGCGTCTCCGACGCCGCCTGCAAACGAGGCGCCCGCAGGGGCGCGCCGCCGAGTGGGGTAAACAAGGTTCCGTGCCCGCGCCTGACTTACTCATTCGTTTGGCCGCGCTTCCGCCGCGGACCCGATCGCGCCGCGTTTCCTCTCTCTTTAATTTGGGGGGATCGAAAGGAGGTCGTTAGGAATGTCCGGCAGAGCCTCGGGCCGTGGGAACTCGGAAACCGGGGTCGCGCGGGACTCGTCCCGCGGGCTCCTGTGCCCCGAGCGCAGCCCGAGGTTGGCAGCCCAGCCGGGCATCACCCTTCCCTGTCCCCTCCTCTGGCACGCCCCAGCGAGGGGCCTTCCGCCCTAGTTCCGGGACCTTCTTTTCCCCCGCGGTCCCTACCCCTTCCCACCGAAAGAAGTCTACTCGCGGAACTGTGGCACCTGATCCTAAGTGATTCAGGGGCTTCGCTTTTCGAGTTTCTGTTTTTGCTTTTTTGCTTCGGCTGTGGAGAGAAAGCGAGCCGGTTTTTCACCGGGAAGACTTGACACTGGAGGGGAAAAAAAAATTTTTTTTTCTTTGCAGCCCACTATTCCCGTCTCCCAGAAAATGTGGTCTCTCCCCCTCTAGGGTCTAAGAGATTTAAGGAACTGGGCTACTAGGCTAGGCCGGGCGCTCGACCAATTTATTCTCGACTCTTGGGGCGGGGGTGGGGGGAGGAAACGGGACGGAGCGAAGTGGAGGGAAATCAAAAATTTGGGCCAAAGGAGTCGAGAGGGACCTGCCCGGTCTTTCCCCGTCCTCCCCCGCCTTCCCCGCTGATCCACTGTCTTCCTGGAAACGTGGGACAGGGCTGCCTCACGACTTTGTTAAGAATTTTGGTTCCTCCTTGTCCTGCCCCCTCCCCCCTATCCCAAGGTGTTTGAAGTGCGAAAGGAGCCCTTACGTTCCTTTGACCCCCCCCTGTTAACTCCAGTCTTTATCACCCTTTTTATTTTTTGTTTGTTTCGAATCCAGCGTCCCGGACCTTTGACCACCTAGAACTCTCTACGCGGGGGAGAAAAACTCGGGGAGGCCCTGTCCCCTCCGAAGCGCCGCTTTTCCTAGGACAGGAAGAAGTGACCTATTACCGTGTCTCCATTGCTGTTATAGAAGTTCCCAGGTTCCCACAATAGTGTGTAGTTAAAGGCACGTCGTTCCTCTTTCTTTTTAAAAAATTTTGGTTAGAGTATTCCTTTGATACTGAATTACCTTTTAGTTACAAGAAAAGGAATAAATGTAAATGTTACTGACAAATTTTCCAAATGAGAAATAACGAAAGCCCTGTGTAAATCGAGGAGATTTCACCCGATATCACCTTCAAAGCATTCCTAATGGAATATAATGATTAATTTCAGTCCTCAAAATATATTCCTAACACGCCTTAGTTTCTCTCCCATTCTGTGTGCTTACTGTTTTTTTTCTGCAACTTTAAAAAAGAGTTATGGTATATTTAATCAACTGAACAATAAAAGTTAAACAGAAACATCTAAATATCAATAACAAATAAAATCCGAGACGTTTTTACTTACCTCTAAAGCTTTGGGGAGTGGAATACTATTCAAAATAAATTTCCATTTCATTTATAGACCATCTTTGGTAGAATGTTATACAGTTTTTAATAGATTCAAGTTACAGAATGATGCAGCTAGAACATTAAATAGGGAGTAGTGGAAAATTTACAGTTACATAAGTTAATGCAAAATTCCACTTAAAGTAATAGAAAAATTGGGCTCTGTACCAAATCATTTTACATTAATTTAGTTCAATTGTGCCAATTTACTATCAATTGATATTAAATTATTTCCTGCCTTAGTATTAGCTGAAAACTACTGATTTTCTGCTCCGAACGTCACATTTATAGTACATGGTGCAAACAGTTTTTCACCTATTTTGTAAATTCATATTCTTATCTTATTGTCTATGTAGCAACTGAGACTTTAAACAATTTTATACCTTGAAAAAACATTGAAAACTTCCTCTGTTTAGTAAACTTTCTTTCATCTTGTGAAAAATACCATTGAAGAAAACCAGTAACTAACTGGTATAACATCTGAAGAAAATTTTATAGCAAATTTGTACTGATGTTTGAGTGTTTCACAGTAGCCTCTCTTTTCTTCTAGAGCTTATTCACAAGAATATTTATTGAGCTTTCAATATGTACAGATTATAGTGCTGTGTGCCCCAGTCCTGTCCTAAGAAGTGAAATGTATTTCATAGGGTACCGAGAGACCAAAAAGGGAACCCTTTGAATTTGAGCACAAAGTGAGAAAATGCCACCAAATGAAATATGTAACTGATGTAAAATAAGCTTTAATCTAATTATTTGTAACATAGCCTTCATTAAAAAAAAAAAAAAGCTTTCCTTCATGAGATAATATTGTAATAGCAGAAACTTTCAGTGCCTGATGAGAAATAAGAAAAAGGAAAGTTGAATACTTAGAACATTTGATGCTATTTAAGGGACAAGACACTATTTGATGCAAAAATATTCTGGTCACTAGAAATGCATACCCCACGGGGTAGCAGAGATAATCTTCCTATCTTACCACAATCTAAATAAAGCATTCCACAGCTCTCTTTAACTCCATCTATACCAATGGAACAAGCTTCTGATTATAATTTAAATTTTCTAGATAGTCTCCTACTCTAGGCAGCATGTATATATAGTCTGTATTTTCTAACACCATTCTAAATGTGAACTAAAATCCAGAAGCCTGAAGGTGAATAAATTTGAGCCCACAGAAATTTAAAATTATGTATCGCAAGGTACAATAAACAAAGTCAAAAGATAAAGTATGAGCAGACTATATTTGCTACATGAATGAGAAAGGCATGACACATATGAATAACTCGCACAAATCAACAAGATAAAAATGCTCCAATAGAAAAGTGGAGAAAGGGGGCGCCTGGGTGGCTCGGCCAGTTGAGCGTTCAGTTTCGGCTCAGGTCATGATCTCATGGTTACTCGTGAGTTTGAGCTCCCCATCAGGCTTGCCGGTGTCAGTGCAGAGCCTGCTTTGGATCCTCTGTTCCCCTCTCTCTCTGCCCCTCCCCGCGTGCGTGCTCTCTGTGTCAGAAAAAAAATTCTTTTTTAATTTTGAAAAATTTTTTTAAAAAACGGAGAAAGAGGGGCGCCTGGGTGGCGCAGTCGGTTAAGCGTCCGACTTCAGCCAGGTCACGATCTCGCTGTCCGTGAGTTCGAGCCCCGCGTCAGGCTCTGGGCTGATGGCTCAGAGCCTGGAGCCTGTTTCCGATTCTGTGTCTCCCTCTCTCTCTGCCCCTCGCCCGTTCATGCTCTGTCTCTCCCTGTCCCAAAAATAAATAAACGTTGAAAAAAAAAAAAAACGGAGAAAGAATATAGTCAACTTGCTGGAAAAGAAATGCAGATGACTGATAAATACATAAAACGGTGCCGAACTTCATCCGCCACTAAGACATGCAAACTAAATACCTACCAGGTTGGCAAAGATTAAAATTTTTTAAATTTTTTTAATGTCTATTTTTGAGAGAGACAGAGTGTGAATGGGGGAGGGGAGAGAGAGAGAGAGAAAGAGAGACACAAAATCTCAAACAGGCTCCAGGCTCTGAGCTGTCAGCACAGACGCTGATGAGGGGCTTGAAGTCGGGAATGGCGAGATCATGACCTAGGTTGAAGTCGGACGCTTAACCGACTGAGTCACCCAGGTGCCCCAGAGATTAAAAGTTTTTGATAGTACTCAGTATTGGTGAGGCACTGAGAATTCTCACGTACCATTGGTGGGAATTGTTTAAAAACAAAATATCTCAGGGGCACCTGGGTGGCTCAGTTTGTTCAGCATCCGACTACAGCTCAGGTCATGATCTCACGGCTCTTGAGTTCCAGCCCAGAGTGGGGCTCTGTGCTGACAGCTCAGAGCCTGGAGCCTGCTTCAGATTCTGGCTCTCCCTCTCTCTCTACCCCTCCCCCGCTCATGCTCTCTCTCTCTCTCTCTCTCTCTCTCTCTCTCTCTCCCCCCTCCCTCTCCCTCTCCCTCTCCCTCTCCCTCTCCCCCTCTCTCCCTCTCAAAAATAAATAAACATTAAAAAAGAAAGTATCCCAGGGGTGCCTGGGTGGCTCTGTGTGTTAAGCTTTCAACTCTGGATTGAGCCCCGCTTTGGGCTTTGTGCTGACAGCTGGAGCCTACTTGGGATTCTCTGTCTCCAGCTCTCTCTGCCGCTCCCCCGCTCACGCTCTCTCTCTCTCTCTTTCAAAATAAATAAACATTTTTTTAAAAAGTATCTCATAGCATACAAGATGTAAAATTAACCTGCCATTTCTATTTCTAGGAATCTATCATACATAGATGCTTGTACAAATTACACAAAGATCTGTGTAGCTTTGTAATAAAGAGAAACTGAAAATAGAAATGGCATCATTTAAGGAAATTGGTTAAAGAAATTGTGATACACCTAGGGGCACCTGGCTGGCCCAGTCGGTGGAGCATGGGACTCTTGATCTCAGGGTCATGAGTTCAAGCCCCACGTTGAGTGTAGAGATCACGTAAATGAATAAATAAATAAAAACTTTTAAAAATTTTAATGCTGGTAATAAAAGAAAGTTCTGGCTAGTGGAAAGGTAATTACTCCATTGTAAATTAATAAATTGAGCTTCTAGGGGTGCCTGCGTGGCTCAGTTGGTTAAGCTTCCAACGTCCGCTCAGGTCATGATCTTGCAGTTGGTAGGTTTGAGCTCGGAGTTGGGCTCTGTGCTGACAGCTCAGAGCCTGGAGCCTGCCTCAGATTCTGTGTCTCCCTCTCTCTCTGCCCCTCCTCCTCTCTCTCTCTCTCTCTCTCTCTCTCTCTCTCTGTGTCTCTCTCTGTCTCTCTCTGTCTCAAAAATAAACAAACATTAAAAAATGTTTTTTAAAAATTTGTATCAATTGAATTTCTCGTTTATAAATCAGGTTTTTGTGAACTTTGATACAGTGATTTAATTTCTGAATTCCTTATCATAATCCCTGTATGAACTTGTATAAGATTAAGGGCCTGATACTTTGACACTCAGGAGTACACTATGGACCTGTGGCGTCAACAGGAAGTAGACCTACCAATAAGCCTTTTCTGAAACGAATAGCTGGCACCTTCTAAGACATCTCAGATACCATATTATTGAATTTGCTGATTTTTTTTCACTTTGAATAACAGACAATATTTCCAGTATGAGTTCATGGAGCGGAAGCTGTGCCTGTATACAAAAGATTGATTGTCTCTCACACCCAACCCCTCCCATTTCTCATCTCATTCTACAGTAATAGGCCCACGTCCGGTTTCTTTTGCTTTCAACCCAATACTGATTAGAATACCACCTCACTTCCTACTTTTATGCTTGCTTACTTCCTACATCCTTACTCCTTTACTTTAATTCATTCACTTGCACACTCTCTTATTGGCTCAGTTGGCCTACAACAATGCTCCTCAAACGTTAATGTGCTTAAGGATAATCTGGAGATCTTGCTAAAGTGCAAATTCTGATTCAGTAGGTTTGAGGTTAGGGTGGGACCTGAGATTCTGCATTTCTAACAAACTCGCGGGTCATGCCCAGCCCATGCTGCTGGTCCAAAGTCTGCACTTTGAGTGTGAGGGCCAGAGGAGCAAAGTACAAACTCTTTAGGGTAGTTTTCAGTGCCTTCCATAGTTTTATCCAAATCTCATCACTCATAACTGTGAACTCTGCTGGGGCGATGTCTGTATAGTCTCTGTTTATCCCCAGCATTCAGTATGTATGTGTGTATGTGTGTGATATATATACATTTTTTTTCTTTTTAAAAATAGGCTCCACATTCAAGCTCCATGGGCTTGAATTCACGACCCTGAGATCAAGTTCTGTGCTGTAGGAACTGAGCCAGCCAGGCACCCCTCCAGGACCTAGTATAGAGCCTGAAACAGGATAGGTGCTCAAAAACTATTTGTTGAATGATTTGAGGAATGAATTAATAAACTAAACGACTACTCCCAGCTCATATACCATATATTCTAAGGGAACTAAATTACTTCCCATTTTCCTAGTACTTTCCCACCTCTGTACATTTGCTCACACTATTTTCTCTCCTTTCCTAAGATTTGCCCTACTCAAATACTCTCCATCCTTAAATGCCCAGTTTAAATGAGAAAATCTCCATGAAGCCTTCCCTGATGTCCCAATATGGAAATAATCTCTCTCATTTTACAAGGCTTCCTCCTACCAGATTTCAAATGCCTTGCAAATAATCATAATAGTATTCACATTTTGTTCACATTTGTGATAACCACCACGCCTAGCACAAATGTTAGCCTATAGCAGAAAATCAATGTTCATTAAATTGAAACAGGAAAATAAAGAATTTTCCAGATCAGCACTATGTATTAGGACCTTTTGCGATGATGGAAATTTCTGTTATCTGGGCTGTCCAGTATGATACACACAAGTAGCTACTGAGCACTTGAAATGTGGCCAGTGTGACTGAAGAACCGCATTTTTCATTTTAATTAAAATATAAATGTAAATACCTATATGTGGCTAGTGGCTACATACGGGACAGTAGCTATCTAGACAATTTTAGTTACAACTGTTCTTCATTTAACAGTATTTACTGAGTACCTCCTATGTGCCAGACACAGAATAGGCTAGGGGCTGGAGACACAAAGATGAATAATTCATGGTGCTTGACCTCAAAGAGCTTGCAACCTGTTAAGAAAAGATAGTCAAGATCAAATAAATCCAATCAAGTGTTATAGGTGCTACTACAGAAGATTGACGAAATAGAATGTGTGTACAAAGGTGAATGTGGGCATGAGTTAGAAAAGGCTTTATAAGGAAGGTAAGAGTTGAAATTACATAGTGTTCCTTAGGCAAACAAAAGATAAAGAGCTTTACTCTGGGAGGAGTGTGAACAAAGGCACAGAAAGTCACAACAGAGAGCCCCTCTCCTCCTGGAACTACAAATCGTTCGGCTAACGACTAGGAAGTGGAGGGCAGAGAGCTCTGTTAAAAGGAGAGCTGAAGAAGTTTATGCTGGAGATGTATGCAGGATCCCGATCACAGGGGCCCCTTGGGATGCCCATGTAAAGGAGGGAG